GAGAGAGAGTGTATGTGCGAGCGGGAATGGGGGTGGGGGTGCATAGGGAGAGGGAGAGAGAGAATCTTAAGCAGGTCCATGCCCAGTGCAGAGCCCAATGTGGTGCTCAATCCTAGGACCCTGAGATCATGACCTGAGCCAAAATCAAGAGTCAGATGCTTAACTGACTGAGCCACCCAGACACCCTATACTATTTTTTAAATAGCAGCCCGAGGTAAGACAAGTGGGAATAAAGAAGGCTTTAAAGAAGGAAGATCATCAAAGATGAGATCAGAGAGGCCAGGGACAGATCTGAAACAGCTTTAAAATCATCCTAAGGAATCTGGAATTTATTTGGGAGGCTACCGAGCTTTTGAGTACTATAGAAAAATGATTTACTACACTTTTTTTTTTTTTAAGAACAGTTTTAGGTTCAAAGCAAAATTGAGTTGAAGGTACAGAGAGACTCCCTTCCTCCCACCTCCTCCATTATCAATATCTCCCACCGGAGTGATACATTTGTTACAATGGATAAACCTATACTCATATATTATAATCACCCCAAATCCATAGTTTACATTACAGTTCACTTTTGGTGGTGTATATTTTACAAGTTTAGGTAAATGCATAATGACATGTATCATCCACCATTATAGTATTATACAGAGCAGTTTCACTGCCCTAACATAATTATCTTACTACTTCAAATTTTAAAATAAAAGTCAGAATAAATGAAGGCCCATAAAGCTTCTCAATCAACACCAGGAAGATAGTTTTCATGTAAAGAAAAGCCATGTCTTTGGTGAGAAGTATATAGGGGTCTTCTTTCTTTTGTGCATATTTCAAATTTTTCAGAAAAAATAATTTTGAATTAAGAAAAAAGAAAAGCATGTCTTTATTAGGTCATCTACATAAAGATTTTATAGAAATGCTTGAACATTCCGCCTTCAGTTTTCTCTTTAACCACACTGCCCCTTAGAATATGTAGTGTTCTCCCTCCTGAAGATATGGAGGAAGTTGTGAAACCGCTGACAAAGATGAGAAAACTTGTTATAAGAGAGATCTCATAAAACGATAGCTTATAACCAAGAATTCTTCTAATTATGAACCCCTCAAGACCAGGGAAAACTTGATGAAATTAAAATGTTAACACTTTTAGGCAAGCAAAATAATCTTGTAAAATTTGCATTTCTCTTAGAGAATCCTCTACTGTAGGTATATATCAAATCACCACATTGTACACCTTAAATATATACAATTTTTATTTGTCAATTATACTTCCATAAAGCTGGGGGAAAATGAGGAAATGAAACTCAGCTTGGATTGACCCTCTTCCAAATCAAATACATGTCACCTCTACCATCAACTCCTCTTTGTCTTCTTGTCAATCCCTTACCATCAACTGTTCACAATTTTCCTGTTCCTAGGATTTGACAGATCTCACAGTCAACAAAATTCAGAGTTAAGTAAATACTCTCATTCCCATTTTAAGACGTGAAAACTGATCCTCACAGAAGTCATGTGACACATGTAAGGCCATATGGTTGGTGGCAGGGATAAAGAGACAGGTTGTCTGACCCCTATCTTAATCCAATACTCATTACACTGCACCAGGATGATTATTTCAGGCAACATTTTATAAAGAAATTCCATTGTAATTGAAGTGGTTGAATTATTCACAATACAACCATCAGTGACCAAGCCTGACATATTAGCTGTTTTTTAAATCTCAGCCTTCTCTTCTGGATCACAGGGATGACCTAGTTAAGGACATGAATATTTGCTTCATTTTATTTAGCTTCACTGGTAATATTAACACGTGTTTAATTCTATCTTTGATTCAAACTGCCACAATATATCTTTTTATAGTAGGTTCTCTAAGAGAAAAATGATTTAGAACTGTGTTCTAGAAAGCAAATTCTGGCAGCTGTAGGGAAAAAAGACTAGAGATAAAAGACGAGGCATCCAGATCAGTGAGAAGGCTACTCCACTCTTATATGGGAGAGTCAAGTGCTTTAAGTCAGGCAGTGCCTCTGAAGAAAAGAAAGGAGGGGTGGCTATCAGAAAAGGAAATCAACAAGACTGGAGACTTACTAGATCTGAAGACATGAGCAAGGAGAGAGTGATGTCAGTAAGTAAGATGGGCAATGCTAGAGGAGAAACAGGGAAGATATGAATTATCTTCAAACATGTTGAGTTGGAAGTAGAGAGAAGGGGTAGCAAAGAATTGCCATTTCTCATCATAAACTTAGATATACACTGTTCGAATTTCTAATCTATGTAATTTGATAAAAGAAATTAAATTAAAAGAAAAAAGAAGTCAGAGTTCAGAGCAGAAGAAAAAGGGAATTATCCTAAACTGGATGTTAATACAGTATATGGCATCATGACTTCGAAATATTTTGATTCTTCAAGTATAACATTCCTATGTTAAAACCCAAGAAAAGAATAAATTTTGGTATATTCATACAATGGAATCCTATTCAGAAGTTTAAAAAGAATGAACTACATATAGGCAACAACATGGGCAATTCCTATCTCTTAGCTTTGACGAGTAAGATTAGGTTCACATGTTCTCATGTCCCTGTGCCTTTGATTATGAAGTGATCTTGTCCAGAGGTGCCTGGGTGGCTCAGTTGGTTAAGTGTCCCATGGTTGGTTTTGGTTCAGATCATGATCTCAGGGTCGTGAGATTCCACGGCAGGTTCCACACTCAGCGCAGAGTCAGCTTGAGATTCTAACTTGCCCTCTGCCCCTCCCCCACCTCACATGCTCGCTCTCTCTAAATAAATAAATAAAATCTTAAAAAAAAAAAAAAAATAAGTAATTCTGTCCAAACTGGGAAGACCACTTCTGCAGTGGTGACTCTGCAGGTTAGAGAGGTAAATAGGAACAGACCAGAACCTACCTGGTCAGATCAGCAAATCAATTCTCATGTCCTACACATGAAGAAGGGACAAACATAAAATCTGAATTCTTTTTTTTTTTTTAAGATTTTATTTATTTATTTGACAGACAGAGAGACAGCGAGAGAGGGAACACAAGCAGGGGGAGTGGAGAGGGAGAAGCAAGCTTCCCGCCGAGCAGGGAGCCCGATGTGGGGGTCGATCCCAGGCTCCTGGGATCACGACCAGAGCCGAAGGCAGACGCTTAACAACTGAGCCACCCAGGAGCCCCATAAAATCTGAATCTTGACAGGACTTGAAAATATAGACCAGCCAAACATTTTACAATAGAGATTTACTGTACTTTTACTATTAGGAAGATAAAGACAGTAGAAGATCTGGAGTAATGAGTGAATGACTAATGTGGAAAGCTTAATGCCCTTTAAAAAAAAAAATATATATATATATATACACACAAATGTTTATATATGTATATATAAAATCCATATTTACATGTATTTTGAATCACAAATTTTTTTTTTTTTTACAAAATGTTTTGAGGTAACAAGTTTTCTTAACACAAGGTCCTCAGATTGCTCATTTCCTAGGAAACAGGGCTAGTTCATTTACCTTCATTCCACTAAAATCAGGGCACTCCATTTGCAATCAGGTCTCCTAAATTTCTATACTGAAACACTCAGCTGTGTGACTATGGGTAAATTACAGATTCTCTCTGAGCTAAAAATATGTGTTTCTAAGATGTAGAGAAACCAAGAGCTTGAGTCTCAGAGGTCTATGACTCCCATAGCAAGACCAAATCAGGTCTCCTGTAACCCATACTTCATCCAGTGCCTCACTTGATAACCATAATTTTTAAATTATTTTTTAAATGACCACAGCAGAAGATTACACAAAATACTTGATAGTCTCTTCAAGAATGTAATCTGTCCTTATTGAGCCTCTAGAGTATATTAAGCAGTCATTAGTTTTCCCTTACCCTTTTAAAGATAATGGCAAAATTTTACATACCCAGAGGTGGAAATAATTGCCAAGTAATTTTTACTCCTAAATGCACATTAAATACTTGTAATCATTGTTCCTAAATAATACACTTAAAATGTCATCCTAAAACTGACTATGCATGGCAGTCTATTATGGGATTGGTTGAGGTTTTGGCACCTAAACCTTTTCACTGTTAGTCATTCATTTCAAACTAGGGCTAATTTACTTTTCCAAAAAGGTCTTAATTCATAGCAGTAAGAAATAGATTTCTTCAAAATTGAAATAGCATTGGGTCCTATGAATCAAAATAACTTTTTCAATATTATTAAGGATTAAAAAGTGGAAAATAATACTTAGATATTTTGTATTTTAAAAATTCCATTATTGGGACACCTGGGTGGCTCAGTCGGTTAAGCGTCTGCCCTCAGCTCCTGGTCATGATCCCTGGGTCCTAGGATTGAGTCCCACATCCGGCTCCTTGCGTAGCAGGGAGTCAGCTTCTCCCTCTGCCTGCTCCGCCTGCCGCTCCCCCTGCTTGTGGGCTCTCTCTCTGACAAATAAATAAATAAAAATCTTTTTAAAAAATAAAAATTACATATGACACTAAGTAGAAAACAAGAAAACCACGAGAACGCATAGGAAAATATAGCAGAAATACCCCAAAATGCTGAGAAGTTGTCCTTGAAGGTGAAGACTATGGGTGGATTTTCTTTTATATATCTACCCATTTTTATAACAGGAAAAAAAAATCTGTATAATTTAAATAGTTTATTTATAAAACGTGGAGCGTATCCTTCCACTAAAATCACAAAGATCATAACGTCAGAGAAGACACTGCGATAGGATCAAAGAGTTTTGTGACCATCCTAACAGATATACCCGTATAGAACCCGCCACAAAGAGGAGAACCTCCTCATCTGACAATAATAAAAAGCCCCCAATAGCGAAGAATGGCACGTCACTGCGGCTCACAATACCGCACAACTGAACGTGGCTCAAATAAATCCCTCTGATTATAGAACCTCAAACACTCAATCCCAACTACGCCAACATTCTGGCAGTACCCACCCAGCCCACGTGTATACTCTCTGGATTGAAAGGATGGATTTAATTGTCCCTCTTCAAGACTCTTACTCATAATCGCTACTCGCTGAAGAGTATGAACCCGAGTAGCTGACCCGATCTTCGTAATCGCAATCCTCATCTTCTTGTGAAGAGGGGTCTCCAGGGAGCTCATCTGGACTATGACGAGAGCTACACGAAATCGGAGACGCCATCATCAGGAACGCAATAGCTACAAGTGGTGTAATTCAAATCTCGAAACTACAGCTCGCCCTAACCGCCATGTTGTCTCCGCTAGGGAAGGGGCAGAGGCCATGTGACCACCAACCCTTGGCTGTAATTGGTGGCGGTTGGGTTGCCAGGGAGACGAGGAAGCTTTCCCGAGAGCGCGAGAACTACTCAAAGAAGCCAAAGAGGTGAAATTTCCCGGAGGGCGTCTCAGTTGGAGGAATTCAAGTAGCTAAAACTTCACCGCTTAGCTTCTCCTAAATGCACTCTTTTGGAGCCGCATAATTTATCAACGGCGGAGACCCATTGGTGGGTTTTTTCCCCCCCTTTTCCTTCCAGTTTGCACTTTGCCCTGTGTTTCTACGAGGAACAGCAGCCCAAAGCCTTAGAGGCACGAAGCCTGGGGTTCCCTTGAGGTAAAGGAAACTCCTCTCTACCTTTCCCCGGGGCCTCTGCCTCTTGTGCTGGGAAGGGACGCTTTTAAGCAACGCCCTCTAAGAGGTGCTAATGTAAATACGCCCCATTGTTTCTTTGGTTTTCATATTGTTTCGCAATTGCAAACGTTTTTATAGTTTTCCCAAGCAGATATCGTAGAGTGCTTCAAATGGGTGGCAGTGTTGTGAAATCAACTGTATGTTCATTTTGTAACGCAAACTTACAATTTGTTCTCATCACTGAGTTGGAAGTGTAAACTGATGAATTTTATCAGTAATTTACGAGTACCTCCATCAAGTATTTTTTTCTAAGTACAAAATAATAGCATTTATTGAGAGTCAGCCATTTCTCAAATTATTTGTTCTATTCGTATTCAATGCTAAGTATTCACATACTATTAAATAAATATCCTTATACTAAAATAAACTGAAGATTAGGTTATTCATCTTTTTTTTTCAAAGATTTTATTTATTTGACAGAGAAAGACACAGCGGGAGAGGGAACACAAGCAGGAGGAGTGGGAGAGGGAGAAGCAGGCTTCCCGCGGAGGAGGGAGCCGGGTGCGGGACTCCATGCGGGGCTCGACGCGGGGCTGGATCCCAGTACGCTGGGATCATGACCTGAGCCGAAGGCAGACGCTTAACGACTGAGCCAGGCAGGGGCCCCAGGTTATTCATCTTAATGGTCAATTGGCTAGAAGGCAATAAAGTCAAACAAAAATTGAACCCAAGTCATTAACTACTAGATTATATTTCCTCCTCAGGACTCAGTAATTCAACTATTACAGATCTATTCCAGGAAAATAAAGGATGCAAAAAATTTATAAAATTTCTGAAAGTGTAAAGCTGAAAGCAATCTAAATGTTTGACAATAGGGGAAAAGTTAAATAATAACATATATGAAATATGAATATTATGAAATAGAAATGTTTTCAAAGAGTAATGCATGGGGGAAATATTCATTTTATAGCAAGTAAAAAAAGGATATAATATTTTATGATCTCACTGGATGGGTGCTGGAGATTCAACTTAAACTACCTGGACAGATGGTGGAGACTGAAAGACAAATAGGCAATTTATAAAATACAGTGATAAGTATCATGATAAATGCAGAGTTCTAAGGAATACCCAAGGGAAAATAGACTGGGGTGTCGAGGGCCACAGCAAATTTCTTAGAGGAAGTCTAAACTTCTCTTGTTCTTATGGAATATTATAATCCAGAAAGAGAAGAGTAGTGGTAAATGAATCCTCGCATGGCCCAAAGGGGTTATATGCATGGACAATTAAAAAAAAAGAAAAACCTGAGTAGGGGGCGCCTGGGTGGCTCAGTCAGTTAAGTCTCTGCCTTTGGCTCAGGTCATGGTCCAGGTCAGGCTCCCTGCTCAGCGGGGAGCCTGCTTCTCTCTCCCCCTCTGCTCCTCCCTCTCCACATCTTGCTCTCTCAAGTAAATAAATAAAACCTTTAAAAAAAGAAAAAAAAAGAACCTAAGCAGTAGCAGGCTAACAGTATTTAAACTTTCAAGATGCAATTTAATTTCATTTGTCACAATACACTATGTACATTTGAATATCCTAAGCATTTTTGTTGTATAATTTTTTTTTAAAAGATTTTATTTATTTATTTGAGAGAGAGAGAATGAGAGACAGAGAGCATGAGAGGGAAGAGGGTCAGAGGGAGAAGCAGACTCCCTGCTGAGCAGGAAGCCCGATGCGGGACTCGATCCTGGCACTCCAGGATCATGACCTGAGCCGAAGGCAGTCGCTTAACCAACTGAGCCACCCAGGCGCCCTGTTGTATAATTTTTAAATGTGCTTTTTCAGAATTGTATGCCAGCTATTGAATATTGTTTTGCAGTTGGCTTTGAATTAATTTATAAAATTGTTTTTTTCTTATGTAAGAGGTATAGAGCACAGAGCTTATACTTGTTTATTTAAAATTATAATTTAAAAAAGTTTAAGTCATCCCTGGAAATCCACAACAGTTTTTCTTTAAAAGAGGTTTCTATGTCGCTCAGATTGGAAAGCGGAGGACTAGTTCATAAAGGGATAATGGGGCAGAGGAGGAGGAGGGTAGCAGGAGAAGATGGCATCTAGGGCACAGATGGAAGGATACGACCTTGCTGACATGTCTTCCTTAAAACTGGTGCCTAGGGGCGCCTGGGTGGCTCAGTCGTTAAGCGGCTGCCTTCGGCTCCGGTCCTGATCCCAGGGTCCTGGGATTGAGTCCCACATCGGTAGGAAAAAAAAAAAAATCTTAAAAAAAACACCTCAAACTGGATCCTAAAGGGGGGTGCAGGTGTGGATGCTGACCTGCCAGTTTTAGTCGGGGAACTGAAATACTATCCATGTGATAGTGTTTATTTTCTCAGGTAAGTAGAAGGCAACCTTGCCAGCTGAAAATGATGAAGGAAGTAATGGGGTGAGAAGTTTGAAGAGAATGGATCCAGGAAGGAAGGGAAACAAGTATTTCCATCAGCACTGAGGTCCAAAAAAATGTACTACTTTTAAAATCAGAGAAACACTATTATAAAAAAAAGTTGGAACCACTATAATAGTTATATTATGTTGGTTAAAACATACATACTTATTCTCACCACAATCTCAAATGTTAAAAATTGCTTAAGATTTCATTCCAAAGTAAAGAATGCTTGGGGTGCCTGGCTGGCTCAGTTGGAAGAGCGTGAGACTTTTGATCTCAGGGTCTTGAGTTCAAGCCCCACCTTAGGTATAGAGATTACTTTTTTTTTTTAAGACTTTATTTATTTGACAGAGAGAGAGACAGGGAGAGAGGGAACACAAACAGGGGGCGTGGGAGAGGGAGAAGCAGGCCTCCCGCTGAGCAGGGAGCCCGATGTGGGGCTCATTCCTGGACCCTGGGATCATGACCTGAGCCGAAGGCAGACGCTTAACGACTGAGCCACCGAGGCACCCCTAGGTGTAGAGATTACTTAAGTAAATAAACTTTAAAAAAATGCTTTAGGCACCTCTTTAATTTTGTTATTTTAAAAGCATCTTATTGGAAGTAAAAAAGAAAAGGACATTTTAAATTTTAACAAAAAAACACATTTTCTTCATATAAATAACACTCTGGAAATTAAGAAACAGATGAACATAGAGGAAGGGAAGGAAAGATAAAATAAGAGAAAAACAGGGAGGCAAACCATAAGAGACTCTTAACTCTAGGAAACAAACTGAAGGTTGCTGGAGGGGAGGTGGGTGGAGAGATGGGGTAATTGGGTAATGGGCATTGAAGAGGGCACTTGATGTCATGAGTACTGGATGTTATATGGAACTGTTGAATCACTAAATTCTGCCTCTGAAACTAATAATACACTATGTGTTAACTAAATTGAATTTAAAGAAAATTTTTAAAAAATTAAAAAAGAACACTATTTTTTCTCTATAAACATCTAATAATTTCATACCCTGCTCATAAACCTTCAATGTCACCCACCCCATGAAGTCCAAACTGTGTAGTCTCTTGACTACAAAAGAAAATTCCAATTCTACAAACAATTGAGCACCAATTAGGAATTAGATGCCTTATTTCCTGCATTAATCAAGTTAATCAAATGTGCCCAACTTGTCAGATCAAAAGATCCCCTGGGGTTCTTGTTAAACAGAGAGATTTTAAGGCCTGCCCCACTTCAACAGGATCAGAATCTCCAGAGAAGGTGGCCTGGAAATCTCTATCTTAAAAAGTGCTCCTGCCCCTCAGTGATCCCTAGGTTAAGGTAAACTTGGGAAACACTGCCCTAAGCCTCCACTCAGTTCTAATGCTTCATACCTGCAGGCCCACTGACCATTTCCCCGGTAGGCTAGAACCCACTCCCACCTCCTGAATTTGAGCCTGGCAGACAGACCTCTCCCTGATCCAGAACCTACCATCTGTATAATCTTGAGCCAATCAACCTCTCCAAGCTGTGTTTCTTTATCTGTGAATTCAGATATTGGTACATACTTCACAGGACTGTTTATAGAGTCCAGTAAGTTAATGCATGTACAATACCTAGCACATAAAGTGTCAGTAAAACTTAAGCTATTTTATAAATCATTTACTCATGTGGTTCTTTCATTGAGGAATGCTACTTATCCAAAATATCACATTTTACTGCAAGACCCAATAGTACTCTTTTCAAGAAGCCTCCCACACTCTTTTCTTATCTCAGTGACAATTCCTCTTTCCACTTTCCCCTTATAATCTATCCAAAAAAGTTCTGTTATAACAAGTATCAGTCTGGGTGTTTCTAAATTATTTAGGAATGTGTCTATCTTTGCTACCAAACAACAAATTCCTGGAAGATATGGCTGCAGTTTTTTTTGTTGTTTTTCAGTCTTTCATCTTATACAAGGTTGAACAGGAGCAGGAAGTGCCACATAAAAGTATCTTTTAAGAAATGTTCTTTACAATAGCGATGTCTCTGAGTTATGTTAACTTCCTTGGCTAGTCTATTTCCATATGTTAATTTAATAGACAAAATCTGCCCCACCCAAAACGTTACCACTTTGCTTGATCTTTCACGAAAGAAGAAATAATAGCAATCACTTTATATTCTTATTTCAAATTTTCCGGGTGATATTAGCTAATCAAATTTCTAATTTTATATATCACATTTGTACTAACTAAATATCTAACAACCTTAGGTATACTAGAGGGGATGAAGAACAGAAAAGAATAACATGCTATTTTCAGGGCCTTTAAAAAAATACTGTTTCATAATTAGCAATTTCAGGAAGACTTAAAAGAGACTGGGGTATATTCTCAATTTCTATTTTCCACTACACAGATGGCCAGCTGTCTTCTGGGCTAAATATGTTTAGTTTAATATATATGACATAAAGTCCTTATTTTTCACAGATTACCATCTCAATTAGGCAAACAATACAATTCTGACATAAAATACACCAGATAAGAACATAATTAAATATTTAGTGTCTTTAGGAGTTTCAAGAGCTCTCTGCTTAGTAGTAATGGAAGCTAGCAATGAGAAGTAAGTGAAAACAGGGCCGCGTGAGGTCATGTCCATTAAAAAATTTTAAACCACAAGGAAAGTGCACGGACTTGGCATTCTTTGAAACTAAGTAACATTGTCTTAATTGTGAACAATGAAATCACTCATGAGCTATGTGGTAATACTGACAATCCCAGTCATTTTAAACATTATGAATAAATAACTTGGTAGGCCAGCAAAATAGGATTTTAAAAACTGACGCTTCACAATGTGAGATGCTTAAAATTTGGGATAGAGTCATATAAGAATAACATTTCAGCAATCCTATGTTTATAGATTGCATTATGATCTAAAATTCTAATTTTTCGGGGTGGCTGGGTGGCTCAGTCATTAAGCGTCTGCCTTCAGCTCAGGTCATGATCCAGGGGTCCTGGGATCGAGCCCCACATCGGGCTCCCTGCTCAGTGGAGAGCCAGCTTCTCCCTCTCCTACTCGCCTTGCTTGTGTTCCCTCTCTCGCTGTCTCTCTCTCTGTCAAATGAATAAATAAAATCTTTAAAAATAAAATTCTAATTTTTCTATATAAAAATTGAATTACCTGTAAAAATGTATGGACTTATTCCATAGAGAGCATGTATTCTCTATTTCAATAATAATGAAATACAGATAAGAATACAGAGATAAACATAAAAGTAACTGAAGCAGGGGTGCCTGGGTGGCTCAGTTGGTTAAGTGTCTGCCTTTGGCTCGGGTCAGGATCCCAGGGGCCTGTGATGGAGTCCTGCATCGAGCTCCCTGCTCAGTGGGAGGCCTGCTTCTCCCTCTCCCTCTGCCTGCCGCTCCCCCTGCTTGTGCTCTCTCTCTCTCTGTGTCAAATAAATAAATAAAATCTTTAAAAAGAAAAAAAGTAACTGAAGCAGATGGCACGAAGAAGCTCAAGCCCAAAACCCTTCATTTACTCCTACTTATCCTCATTTTATATTTTCATTTACAGATTATTTAAAAAATCTGGTGAAACCCTCTACTGCCATAGATCAGTAGCTGCCAACCAGAAGGAAGGGAGGCTTCCTTAAAACAGGAACACAACAGCAGCAGAAATTGTGGATGGCTGACAATCTGCCAATGGAGGAAAGTAGGAAACAAAAAGCAGACACAATAATTAAAAAAAAAAAAGTCATAACTTATAAGTGAAATGCCAAGTACCCTCAATAGCACCCAAAAAAAAGAAAAGAAAATTACTGCATTGTCAAACCCTACAGTAATTTGATAAGACTGTGAAAATGCTCGATCATTCCTAAGTGCCACGCATTCTCCAGTCAGAGAAGCCACATCTCATCCTGATTCTGGCACTAATAACTGAGTGAATGTGGATGAAGTCACTTTCATCATCTGAAGACAGTAATAATAATCCCTGCCTACTGTACAGGGTTGCTAAGAACCAAATGAGATAACCCTTGGAATCTAAAGCCCTACACCTAAAGAAACAGACCAGTGTGTGCTATGTGCTATATTTAAAATTTTTTTATGTCATTATTTTTTTTAGTTTTTACTTTTCGAGTTTAAAGGATATTTTATTCATAAGGAATATTACCTAATGGGGTACACCTTCACCCCTGAGACTTCTGGATATTTGAGGTATCTTAAATATGCATATTTTTGCTGTTGGCAAAAGTATGAAGTTAGGTCATCAAACATTTTCAGAGACTTACCTCTAGCTCATTTTCTTTGTTGGCTTAGATGTCAAAACACACTACCACTCTGGCCTGGACCAGCGCCATATATTAGCCATTAGGCTTTGGGCAAAAGTCACTTAGCTGAATTTTCTGAATCTTTAGGAATAGCTATCATTCTGTGTTTTGTTTTAATTTTTTAGGACAGTTGTTAATATCATCCTTTATATTTGACAGAACTTTAGTTTTATAGAGCTCTTACATAACTGAGAATCACACCACGACCCTGTGAGATGGGTATTATCCCTTTATATTACAGAAATAACAGGAAAATACAGATGTTAAAAATCTTGCAAGTCACACAACTAATAGACCACAGAAATAGGACTCCAAGGGAATGATTAAACTGCAATAGCCTTGTGCATGGATTTTTTAAAAAAGTCTTTGCAAGTGCTTGCTTCGGCAGCACATATACTAAAATTGGAACGATACAGAGAAGATTAGCATGGTGTACTTCTGAAACAAATAATGCAATATATGTTAAGAAAAAAAAAGAAGAAGAAGAAGATAGCAGGAGGGGAAGAATGAAGGGGAGTAAGTCAGAGGGGGAGACGAACCATGAGAGACGATGGACTCTGAGAAACAAACTGAGGGTTCTAGAGGGGAGGGGGGTGGGGGGATGGGTTAGCCTGGTGATGGGTATTAAAGAGGGCACATTCTGCGTGGAGCACTGGGTGTTATGCACAAACAATGAATCATGGAACACTACATCAAAAACTAATGATGTAATGTATGGTGATTAACATAACCATAAAGAATTATTTTAAAAAAAAGTCTTTGCAAAATACTAACGAGCCCTAATATAACTATTTGGGTACTTCTTATAATCAAAATGACACAAATATATGTTAATTTACTTAGGTAAAAGTAACTGAGAAACAATATTGAAGCTTTCCCTGACTCTGACAACCTATATGTAACTTCTAATCAAAAAACAGGACAGCTTTTTTGCCCCAGCTACTGTTACTTTAGTCTTGACCGTATTTGTAGCTAACACCTCACGCAGAGAAAAGTTTGTGACTTTGCTTCAATTTTGGTTTGGCTGAT